ATTTATGTACAACATAAAAATTATGTTGTATGGTAATGAAAGGTCATTTGCCTGTGTTTGGGATGAAAGTCACAGACCTGCTATAGCTAATTTTTGGAAGGAATGGTAACCTGTGAATGTTTCATATGCCTATTTCCAGGATTAGTGCATCACTTAACTTTATATGTGATATGAAGACGTTAAAGAGATGCAGCATAAAGGCTTGCAAAAAGCCACATTTTCTATCCAGATATATTAATAGTGATCTATTAATAGATCACGTTACATGCAAATATGCTTCATGCTAACATTATTTAGCTAAAATACAAGCAATAAGTACTGTTCTCAAAGGCACAGGAAATACATTTAAAACCAGTCTATGTTTTAATAGTTTTCTTGTGTCATTGATAGACTTAAAGTTAGATAATCTACATACCTGACGCAGTTTAAGCAACCAAGGCCAAAGGAGAGTGTGAAAAACTTCTCAGCATTGCTTCATTTAAATTACAAGAATACTTTTCCAAAATCAATGCCTTTTCTAATATTCACTCTTAATACATACATACCCACTTTTTTTTTTCCTCACTTGTGCAATCTAATATCAAATCTGACTGAAATGAGAAAAACCTATTCAGTACAGTGGCTAAGCAGTTAAAAATGTCATTCAACAATTTGCCAGGTCACTGTCACAAATATGTTGCTAGGTGACTGTGGATGTTGTCAGCCACTAAAATACATGCATTTTCCAGATGTATTCATTAAATCATTTTCTGTTGAGTGATTCTGTGGTACAATGAAATTGGATGCCTTATTAAGGACCTAAATATTTTTAAATATATAATGTAATCTGAATTATATTGAAAAATGTCATTTGTTGTGTAAGTGGAGGAAAGGGATCCAAATTTGGGAAATTTGACTAAGGGTTTCTAGAAATTCAGCTCCCTAGAAACTGCAATTTTACACTATCCTCTTGGGTTTTGTAACTTCTGTGCATACCTAATGCTCACATTCTGCATCTAATTATTCTACAGCTGATCCCTGTTAATTGGCATTTCCATCAGCCAGTGATATGACTCATTAACCCTTTGGAAAGCAGCCTTTCAAAAGTTAATAACCGTAGCGTTTGAAACTTCAGGCTGACGTAATACCCACTCATAAAAACACTGGCAGTGAAGTGTGAACTTCAGGCTGTTTCAGGTGTCATTCTGGGAGCTGATTGTATCAGTCACATGGAGTTCACTCCACAGGCAAGACCCCAAAAGCTGGGCTGCTTTTCCAGGTTCCTGTTCCTGGCAGTGGCAGCCTCATGCATGCAGAGGTTGGTCTCTTTATCAAAGTGAGCCAGAAGAGCTGCCAAACTCCTGGCAGTGTGCACTGGTGACATTGGAAGTGCATATAACACACATTTAGGTACTGAGCTCAGGTATAAAAATCCATGTTAGAGGGTTCTAATTTGCAAGCTGACTCCACACATCAAATAATGGGGGCAATAACTGGATACAGCAACCATTTGTAGTGCAAGTCAGATCTACAGATTCATTCTGGCCTCAATATCTACAAATGTACATTGAGTAGATATGAGGCAGGGTTCAAAGAATGTGCTACTGGTTGCATTTTTCCTAGAGCTTTGAACTGTAACATCTGTGTGCTTCCTGGTTCAATGTTCATCTGGAATGATCGAGAGATTACTCGGAGTGGTTTGGCAGGGACTTGCAAGATCACACTTTTCAGCTCAGACCAGCCTGCACCAAAGGTATTTATACGTGCATGGATTTAAGTGTAAAGTGTCCAGAGAGAAAAATCTGTTAGTGTTAATTCCAAAATTGTCTCCTCTGGCTCAGGGAGTTCGCAGGCCACGAGTGATGGCAGACTGAGTGGTTATTCTGAGAAAATACTGCTATTTATTATTTTTCTGCATTCAGCAAATTTTTCCCTAGGCATCCACTTTTGGCCACATATCAGAGGTGAAATACTGCACCATATGGATCTTGACCTGGTCTCTGTGGCCACTTTAATGCTCTTAAGCCCATGCAGCACTGACTCTTTGTGACAGTCTATGGGATTTCCAGCAGCATGGGGAGTTCATGACATTGGTCTCCAGGGGATTGTAATAGGTACAGAAGGAAAATATCACAGAATAAATCCTTAATCTTTCTGGCAAAGCTGAAGGGAGGGCAGCAGTTTGTGAGGTTTATGGTTACTGTAGGTGCAGTTTTTAAGCATAGCTTAAATAGTTGTATGTGTTATGCCTCAGCTAAGTGTCTTTTACCACATCAAAAGTTTAGATAACATAAAATGTTCTCTGTTCTAAAAGAATGAGGTAGCACTTCACAGTCTGTCTGCTGGAGGTTGTGCTGTTGTGCCATTGCTCCAGGGAGAAGTGGTGTTGGAGGAGATTCATTGCTCTTCCTCTCAGCTTCACTGGCATCACCTAATGAAACAGGAGACAGTGCCATGAATTGTGGCTTGGGATGCTCAGACTGGACTGTGTGACCTCTTGAGATCCCTTCCAATCCACATTTCTGGAGTCCATAGAAGGCCTACACTCACCAGAATCAGTAACTCAGGGCAGCTATTCCAGAGCATCTCAAATGGCTTCACAGATTTATGTGATGGCAGCTGCATCGTGTCCCCTCATCAGCAAAATGCAATGGGAGTGATGCAGCTGGACTGGCTGTCTGACAATTCACCAACCAAGCAGGTGGATATAATCCACACCCTTTGGGATAACCTGGCATATCTGACCTGCTCCTCAGATGTCACTTCAGAAGGACCTGTGTCTATTATGATTCTGTGTCATTTTGAAGGGGGTGATTCTGCCCCTTCTACTCTGCTTTTGTGAGATCCCACCTGGAGTATTGTGAGCAGTTCTGGTGTCCCCAGCACCAGGAGGACATGGAATTGTTGGAGTAAATCCAGAGGAGGGAGGGTCATGGAGTTGATAAGAGGACTGGAGAACCTCCCCTGTGAAGACAGGCTAACAAAGGTGGGGCTGTTCAGCCTGTGTGGAGACCTCAGAGCAACCTTTCAGTATCTAAAGGGAATCTGCTGGGAAGTTGGAGAGGGACTCTTGATCAGGAACTGCAGCGATTGGACAAGGAGCAATGGGTACAAATTGAAAGAGGAGAAATTTAGGTTAGATATTAAATGTGGTTAGACAATGGAGTGAATGGTTTGCTCAAGGTGGTTTTGGATCTCCCAACCCCAGTGTTCAAGGCAGGGTTGGACAAGGCCTTGAGCAACCTGGTCTAGTGGGAGGTGTCCATGCCCATGGCAGAGGGGCTTGGGACTAGATGGTCTTTAAAGTCCATTTGAAACCCTTGTCATTCTATGAGTATCTCATGTGTGCAGAGATACTTCAAATGACAGGACATGCTTGTCTTTAGGAAACTGAATCAAGCCCTGGATATCTCCTGGGGTGAGCAGAAGCAATTTTGCTTTTTCATCTGCAGCACAGAAGATGTCAGGGTACCTGAGTGGCCTGTTCACCTTAAATAATCAATCTCTGCAAGGCTGTGGTTGGTAGCTTTAGCTTGCAGAATCCCAGCACCGGGTCAAAAAACACCCAAGCATTCCAGTGCACAAATGATGATCTGGGATAAAGCCCTGCTGTCAGATTACATTTGTTCAACAAGTGCAGCTGCCTAACCAGGGCCACAGGTCAGGCTCGTGTGCACAGTAGCTCATTTACACATTGTTTGGGTTTTGCCTCGTTCTTTCTACTGTCACTCAAAGTGGAGCTGGGTGTAGGTACTGGTCCTGCTGGCTTTTTGGGGAACACCCACACTTTAGCAGTTCCCACAGTGGCAGGACAGGGGGTGACATAGCCCGGATCCCACTGATGTTTTAGCACAGACACCAGAGGGACCCTCAGTGCTGAAAAGCACCTGTCACATGGCCAGACAGAGAAGGATGAGCCCTAGGGACAGACAGGTGGTCTCTAAAGTTAAAATTACTTAAATCAATTGTTATTCAAGTGCAATTGCTGTAGCTTCCTTGTGGTATTTCCCAGAAACCTCAATATCCTTGCTTTTCTCAGTACAGACAGTGGAATATCTTAAATAAAATATATTCCTATTGACTGTTCTTTTAATGCAATGTCAGAAGTTTCCAGAAAGATGCTTGAACTGTAGAAATTCAAGTCAATATCACTTAAATTTAAAATTATTTCTCTGTTTTGAATCTGAGCAATTGATTGCCCTGATCTTGGAATAAAAGTTCCAAAGAGAGCTTCCCACCACATGACGTGGAAGGATAGAGATGTGCTCCACAGACTGGAGATGGAGGGAGCACTGTACTAGAGCCAGCCTGTTTCCCTGGAAATCAAACCACCTGAAACTTGGCTGTGCTACCAGAACACTGCAGCCACTGCCAAGGTCCTCTCTGCAAGTTTAGATTTACACCAACTCTGTGTTGTGACAAAGTGCCAAGCACTGATGGGAACCTTCTGTCTCTAGTAAGAATTTTGGACACATTATAACAACAAAGGATTAATATAGCTTTGCTTGAAAGCAGAATTTAAATGAGGTTATTTAGGAAAACGCAATCTTATTTCTTTGAAATACTATTTCATTATATGAAGATATAATGGATTAACATTTATCTGGAAAATGCTTTTTTTTTTGTATTTAATGACTACTTTTTAGCATTTCCAGAATGAATAATATTTTCTAGAATATACTTATTCTGGAATGAGCTTTTGCAGGTTTGAGTGATAGAATCAATCAAGAAACTGATTGTGTATGTTTAACACGAAAAACAACAACAGTAATAGTGGTAGTAATAATAATAGTAATAATAATAATAATATTCTTAAAATTACATATACATGAGTTTCTGATGCATCATTCAATCCTTTCTTACAAACTACTTCAATATACTGAGATTTACAGGGATTTGTTTAGTTTATCCCTGCTTTGAGAATCAGTTTGATTATAGAATATAAGCATTATCAGAGGAACAAAACACTGTAAACTAAGAGCTGTTTCATCTAACAGAGACAAGAGCAACACAGAAAAAAATTAAGACTTAAAACTTTATTAGCAATGAATACTATTTTAACAACACATGCAGATGATATCACAGCAGAATACCCAATGAAAATGGTGTATTCTCCCTAGTTTTTGTCTTCAAACAGGCACTTGAATGTCAAGGTGATGGTGAGCTCTTCTGCAATAATCTTGTCTCTGGACCTCTCTGTGGGACTGAGGGAGGCCTGAGGAAACCTGCCCTGGGTGAAAAGACCAGAACATTAAATTTTCCTCCTCTCCTAACACAACTCCCTAATCACCATTGAGCAATTATCCCTTTCCATTTGCTCTAAAAGGAAAACAAGTGATAATGTAGATTAACTTAAATGGCTGATGATTATTCAGAGATGTAGGGTGACAAGAGTTTCCCTAAATTGAGCAGACTGGATCCTGCTGTGATATAAATGCTCTTTTTTGTGACCAAGGGTTTAGTATTTCTCCTTTAAATTCAGCTTTGCTCAGTCTCCCAAAGCGGCTGCACATAACAGCACCTCTGGACTGGCAGCCTGGTACATTTAAAATAAACTTTGTTATTGGTGGGTTGTTGTAACTGTCACAGAATTTTTAAAAGTTACATTTTCCTAGAGCCCACTAGAGAGGTGTTAAGTCATTAAAAAAATGTGTGGTGTGTTTGTTTATTTATTTATAAAGGATGTATTAATAGTAGTTTAATGGACCATCAAATTTTGCTGTTTCAAAATAAAAGTATATAACTGTTGTATGTGCTTTCTAAAGCTGTTGCGCTGGCATCTGCTGTTCAGACTGTTAATACTTTAATATTTTGAAAAGCAAGTTCAATTAACTCTCGAGTGTTAATGTACATTGCACACATACAGGGGCACCCCAGTTTGCTCATTTTGGATGAGGCCATGACTGTATAAACAGAGGCATTTCAGAGAAATGTATTCACTGGCTTATCTTTAGCACAAAACACCAAATAAAAAGGAGCTAATATTTTGATTTTTCACATGAAGCACTGCAGTACAGTCCCACTCATCCCAAGATGGTGCTGAGAGGAGTAAGGCAGCTCTTGCAGGATGTACCTCCCTTGCTGTGTGTGGTTCATGGCGCACCCTGCACATTCTTGCTTTTCTTAGAATGGATGGTGAGTTATCTTTAATAAAGTGCACTCCTACTGAGATCACTTTTAATGCAATGGTGGAAGTTTCCAAAAAGACATTTAAGCTGTAGAAATCTGTGGGAGTAGCAATGCTTAAGGACTAAACCTTTCTGCTGTGCCACTAACAGAGTGCTTCACTTTCTCCATAACTTGTGTTGTTACTAAGGGCTATTTTGTATCACTGAAAATAAACTGTGCAGGAACTGTGCTCTCCAGCAGTCCCATCGCCTCTGTGCATCAGGTGAATTTGATTTTCCTGTAGGCTTTACTTACCCACATTTTGTCGTCCCTAGGCCTGCTACTGCCCAAGTGGCTCCAGGCTGGTTTTGGGAGCATGTGTGGTCCACGTGAAAGGCTGAAAGCAGGACAACAAGGCAAGGATGGAGTTTGAGGCACACTGATGAGTTGATTTGGAGTACAGGTCGATGAGGAGAAGGGGGCTGTCTACCTGGTGGTTCCAAGGTACATGGGGAGCTGCAAGGTGTGGGACTGGAGGCATTTATTTTACTGATGCTCTGCTAGAGAAAACATAAACTTGGAGCACAGGATGAAGTAACTGGTATTTGTTTTGCTTTTGTGTTTTTACTTCATTTGTTCTGTCTACACATGTCTAAGCCTCAAATTCCAAACCACGATTTAATCCCTTCTCCTCTGGAGCCCTTGGAGGTAGAAAACAAAGTTGTGGTAAATCATATCATTAGACTTTAATAGCCAATATACAGCAAGTAACATTTTTTCCTCCCAAGGGAGTTATTTAATGTTTAATGAAAATACCAATTTGCATAATTCACTTGCAGTATAAAGGTCACCAACAGTCTGTCACTAGGAAAACATGGTAATTGCTTAAGATAAATATCTTCCATTGACAAAAGAATGTTAATTTGTTGAAAAGGACTACTTAAAATTATTATATTTTAATTATTATATCATCTTTATTCTATTTTTGAGAACATCAAAACTTCTGCAGTAGAGCTCTCAAAGCTGTGTATCACTTTCTCAAAGGCAGAAGATGTTGAGACCAGGCAGACCAGGCTTCTCTATTAGCTGGTAGATAAATGGCAAAAATATCCATAAATATGAGAAGTCGGAGGGAACCTGAGTGATGGACAACATAGAAGAAGGTGTTTGGGTCAAAGACACAGTGGTCCCACACTGAGTCCCCTCTGTGCTGTGATCAGGAAGACCCTGATGGTCATATGCCATCACCAAAACCTCTAGAATCACAAATAAAGTCTCTTTTAAAGTTGTGTTCTAAGAGAAACAGAGAATGGTTCCTGGTAAAGCACAACTCGGCCAAGCACTGGACACCTGCTGAGCCTTTGCATGAGCAAGCCCAGACAAGGACTGGACGTCATGGCATCCACACAGGAAGAAGCAGATGGTGGAAATCTCTGCTGGGACAGTGTGTGGAGCCCAGCACTGATCCTGACAGCTGCAGACCATAGGCTGCTTTGGGCCAGGGGCCACCACCATGCCCAGAATGTTTGCCAGGAATATCCAAAACTGGCATCCAGCTACCAGCTGTGCTGGAGCACCCTGCATTGCCAGGGGAATATGTGTCAGAACCCACCTCCAACAGGGACTTTCTAAATTGTGGGTCTATGCAGTGTAACCACAGCCACACAGGAGTACCTGGGCTGGAGCGATTGGTGTCACTTTGTATCTCACTGCTTCTCCAAGAGATGCCTATCAGGGCTTGTAAAGATGACTCAATCTAATAGAATCCTTTTCCCATTCACTGTAAAGCCAGGAGGATTTCTCTCTTATCCTATAGGTGCACCATAAGGGTGTCTTTAATACAGGGAAGTGACCCTGAGTGAGTGACACACTGTTTGCAAAGGGACAAACCTACTTTTGCAACTCAGCACAATAGACCAAAGCCACACTATGTTTCATTTAATGATTACTCCTGCACAAAGCTTTCAAATAATAAGCACTTGCATATTTTAAACCTGAGCAAGCTAAGCATTTAATTTACTATTCACTTGACACCACTTTAGTTCATTAAAACCTCTGCAGCATTGGAGAAGGTGAAGAGGGCAATATGATTAAGATAGCATGATTAGGGCAAGGCATGGGGTTCTCTCAGCTAAGAGCTGAGGGAATCTTGTTCTTTCCTTCAAAGACAGCAGTGGTGGCTCTCCTTGGCTGGGCCAGGATGGAAATCCAGGCACCAGATTTCCCTGCTCTTGGGCACTCTGTAAGGTGATGCTTTGGGGATAAGCTTTGCACTGCACAGAATGACCCAAGCTGTTTACCTTCAGGTCCTCAGAGTAGTATTTTTAAGGGATATTATCGACATTGATAACTCAGATCACCTCTGTTGTGATATAGAAGCCATCTAATTTTTAATGCATTTATATGAATAATTATATACATGTATATATATTTTAATGTTGGTGTTGCCACTGTGAAATAGAGTAGATGTACCAACTTTATTAATAAAATCCTGGCAGCTATGAAAAGATGGGGGATGCCACAGCAGAAGCAGTGAGGGCCTGTGGGTGTCAGGGCTGATGTCCTGGTCTGGCCTCAGTCTGACCCCATCCCCAGGGAGGTGTCCCGTGCCAGGGCTGGGGCGGTTCCTGCTCTCCTCCCAGTCCTGCTTCCTCCCAGGATCTGAGGCACCACACACAGCCAAGAGCTGAATGTGCAATTTCTGCAAAATCTGTCTTCTGCTTGCACTTAATCACAGAATTTTCTTTTTCCACCTCCTCACAAATCAAGACCCAGGAAAACAGTCTAAGATCCAATGCTGGATTTAGGCAGATTTTTGGTCAGAGGTTCCTCTGCTCTGCAAGCCCTCCACCCACTATGGTGAGCCGGGGTAAGACCATTCCAGGTGTAGCTTCCCAGCTACTGGAAGCTGTCTCATTTGAGATCTATGGCTGATCACTTCTGCTTTGAATTTAAGTTCTGTGTGATTTCCCAATGCAGAACTCTCATTAAAGAGAATTAGAGCACAATAAAAATAGGCTTTAAGGGACCAGCCTGTCCAGTCATTCGGGAGGTTCCTTACAGGATTATTTTCTTGATACACAAATGCATGTACATGGTCACTAGTGGCTCCTTGGTATCCTTCCTAAGAGTGGCCAATAGCAGACATACAGAAGAGAGCTTTCCAGTAACAGACATATGGAAGAGCTTCCCAACACCAGCATTTCCACACAGTATCCCAGCTTTAAGCTGTCTGAAGTTTAGGCCTCCTTAAACCACAAGTGGCATATTTGTCTTAAAAAAATTAATGCAACACAGCATCTAAAAATAATCCCATGGAGTCATACATTCTCTTGTTCCTCAGCATTTGAATCACTGCAGCTGACTCCACAGTGCCACAAAACACATTTTGAGAATGAAAAATACCCCAAAATTTCCTAGAACGAAATACTTAAAAATAAACAGATTCTCTCACTCTGTAAAGCACATACATAAGTCATGTTTTTTCAGAAAGTGCTGAAGGCTCTGGATGAGGAAGTTCTGGCCACTCCTTGGTGCCCAAGGCCACACATGGCCAGAGCTGTGGGCACCCCACCAGCTTGCGTGCAACTCAGCTTGCATCAAGCTCTTACTCACACTTGTTTTCCCACAGGAGCTCAAAACCTGAAAACAATTAAACTGCTACAAACCTGATTATTCTCCAAAGCTGAGATCTGTGGTGGAAGTCCCAGGAGTGCTCACAGAGGAGCAGAACGCCAGCACAGGGCTCAAAGCAAACACCAGAAGTGCAGTGGGGGACCAGAGCCATCCCTCTCTAACGATGCTCCTGCAGCCAACAAAACTGACTCTAGCTGGCAACGAGCAGGAGGCAGGGAAATTGTCTTCACTGTTGCTATGAAGTTCTTCCCTCTTCAACCAACACTTTAAAGAAGACACAGAGGAATGACTAGATCCCAAATACTCTGTTGACTGAATCTACAAATAGGCAAACACCTGTTGTTCACATTCTGCTGCTCGGGTGGTTTCTGGTAGCCCCTAAAATGACAAGACTCATCTCCAAAATGGTTAAGTTGTTAAACATAACAGTATCTTGTTCTTACATACTACAATTTCATATTAATTTTATTTGGGAGTGTATGAAGGAAAAGAGGTTAAGCCAAGCCTGGATTTAGGCACGCGATTTTTCTTTGACTACAAAAAGGAAAAGGCTGATACACCTTCATTTAGGTGGCTTTGATTCATCCTCCAGCGCTAGCTCTGAACTGGCTGTGCGTGGTGATCACCGCGTGTGACAAACACCCAGCACGCCCGGAGCAAGGTCTGTGCCCAAGGACTGTGCCCAAGGACTGAGGCGCCCTGGTTCGGGAAGCTGGGAAGCGCTGCCCTCAGGGAACGCGCGTTCTCAAACAAAACCTGTCTGCAAGGCGCCCGTGGGGAAAAGGCGGCAGCAGTCACACAGCATCTCCTCCTGCTCCACCCCCTTCACGCTAATTATGTCACCTGAACGCTCACGCCTTAATTAGCCCGGAAACAAATTACGCTGGCTCCTCCTGGTGGCTGATCTCTCCGAGCTCGCCGCGTTCGATGTGCCGGGGTGCGCGCCCCTCTCCCGGCTCCGTGCGCGCTCCTGTCCCGGCTCCGTGCGCGCTCCCCTCCCCGCTCCGTGCGCGCTCCCCTCCCGGCTCCGTGCGCGCTCCCCTCCCGGCTCTGTGCGCGCTCCTCTCCCGCTCCGTGCGCGCTCCTCTCCCGCTCCGTGCGCGCTCCCCTCCCGGCTCCGTGCGCGCTCCTCTCCCGGCTCCGTGCGCGCTCCTGTCCCGGTTCTCTGCGCGCTCCCCTCCCGGCTCCGTGCGCGCTCCTGTCCCGCTCCGTGCGCGCTCCTCTCCCGGCTCCGTGCGCGCTCCCCTCCCGGCTCCGTGCGCGCTCCTCTCCCGCTCCGTGCGCGCTCCCCTCCCCGCTCCGTGCGCGCTCCTCTCCCGCTCCGTGCGCGCTCCCCTCCCGGCTCCGTGCGCGCTCCTCTCCCGCTCCGTGCGCGCTCCCCTCCCGGCTCCGTGCGCGCTCCCCTCCCGGCTCCGTGCGCGCTCCTCTCCCCGCTCCGTGCGCGCTCCCCTCCCGGCTCCGTGCGCGCTCCCCTCCCGGCTCCGTGCGCGCTCCCCTCCCGGCTCCGTGCGCGCTCCCCTCCCGGCTCCGTGCGCGCTCCTGTCCCGCTCCGTGCGCGCTCCTCTCCCGCTCCGTGCGCGCTCCCCTCCCGGCTCCGTGCGCGCTCCCCTCCCGCTCCGTGCGCGCTCCTCTCCCGGCTCCGTGCGCGCTCCCCTCCCGCTCCGTGCGCGCTCCCCTCCCGGCTCCGTGCGCGCTCCCCTCCCGGCTCCGTGCGCGCTCCCCTCCCGCTCCGTGCGCGCTCCCCTCCCACTCCGTGCGCGCTCCGCGGGGCCCGGAGCCGCCGAGCGACCCCCGGCCCTGCTGTGTCTGTCACAGCAGCCGCGGCCACCGCGCCGCCCCTGGTGTCCCCAGGGCTTTGCTGCTCGTGGCCGGGGGTGGCAGCGTCCCTCGGCACCGCGGGAGGACGGGGCTGGGCCGTGCGTGCTGCGGCTGTGCGTGGGACCATTCCTGGTGTGCGCTGCTGGCACTCAGCTCCAGGAGGAGGGCTGGAATAACACAGCTGAAAAGCTCGCTGATGGAGGAGGTAATGCATATAGTCCAAGAATAAAAGAAAGCAGCTGGATTAGGAATTGAGCCAGTTTGCGTTCCCTAAGCCTACCCAGCATTCTTATTTTTTTGAACGGAACAATTCTCCTCTCAGCATAGAGGAACCAGCGTCCCCCCCAGGGAGGCTCGCCTCGGGAGGGGTGTGGGCAGGTCAGAGGACACTGTGCACTTTCATGGTAACATTTGAATAAATATTCTGCATGGAAACAGGCCCGGTGACTGAGCACACTGGCAGGCTAGCCTGGAGACCTGGCTGCGTTTGAAGGACTGTGCTTATAATTACTGTCACCATTACTTGCATCAAGAATTACAACCACATGAGTTTGGAGCCTCATCACTTTTAGTCAGTGCTTTAAAGCTGCCTCTCTCTTATGCATGCCCAGAGGTTTACTTGACCTATTTTTGGACAGTTGGGAATTATTTATTTTTATATACAGACTTCCCACTTAACCATGATAATACAGTAAACAGGAGGCTGGGAGGAACGGGAGTAATATACCTGCACTCCCACCTGCTCCTCAACAAGGAGCAGCCCTGGATGTAATGCTGACTAGTGTTACAGAAATCCATCATGCTGAAAATGCTGGTGACACAAAATTCAGAAAGGGGATGAGGATTACCTCAGGCTGTGTATTGTCAGATATTCTGTACGGCAGAAATTCACAGAAGGCAGAACCTTTTACAGGCGTGATATATGAGACCTCTACCAGTTCCTTCTTCATCCCTCTCTTTCCTGACAGCTGAAGTGTTGAATGGTATTGAAGGAATATCTGGTTCCTATGGAGAAATAATATAAAAGCCCAGTGGTGCATTTATATTTGTTACAGGAGTAGGATAATTATTTGGTTTATAGGTAAAGAGGGTCTGTGCTCCCTGTTTCCTTTGTATGTTCATCTGTGGCTCCAGCATAGGGACTACAGAGGCAGATCTTATATACAGCTCACATTTGGGCTTCAGACTAAATCCTCTTTTGTTAAGCCCCAGTAAACATCCATTCATAGGCACCTTTGACCCCCAACACTTTATCATAGCCATGGACAGACACAGCTGAGGAGCACAGTGACACAAGAAAAGCCAGAGGACATCAGGGTTTTCAACAAGTGAAAAAAACAAATAACAACAAGCACAACAAAACCTGCAAACAAGACTGCTCTCTTCCCTCAAAAATGAGAGAAAGGTCCAGCTTAAGCAAAAAAGAAAAATAGAAGAATGTTTAGATGTGGTAACATATCTTCTCCCGTTTTTCTCAGTTTGGCCAACAGGTGAGGGATGAAACCAAAATGTATAAAAGAAAGAAGGTTTGAAATAATTTGGATATATATTTTAATGGGGTAAATGTAATTTAAACATGCAAATATGAACAGCCAGTGTGCTGCCCTCAGGAGCTGTGTGCATGTGTAAAGCACATCCCATGGATGGTACAGGAGTGAACACCCATTCAAGTGCAGTATCTCTGTGAAGAACTTCAGCATGGGCAGCCTGGGTCAGACCAAAGCTCTGCCCAGCCTTGCACGCTGCCTGTTTTACAGTTTCATAGCAGATTTCCAGAAGAGCTTGTGAGAACAAGAAAATGTCCAGCTTTGCCGTCCTGAATTGAATATACCGCAGCTCAGCTGCTCAGGGACTTCCTGAGCCAGAGGAAGTGTCTTTACGTTCAGCAGTTGCTCGTGGACACTTGGCTGAGTCTGTTCTCCCAGAGATGAATCCACACTGCTCACAGGAGTGCAGCTGTGCCAGCTCACTAACCAATGCCCCACTGGTGACACTGTCCTAGATAAGTGGCATGTGCTACATTTTCCCTTTATCTAGGCTATAAAGTCTGTGTGAAATTTGTATAAATACAGCACAGATAAAAAAGAGAGGGACTATTTCTATAGGTGGAAGACTTTGAAGGTGGCAGTACTATATTTCTTTAAGACTGACTTTGTGTTTGTTCCTGCAGTGCCCATTATGAGGAGATCATATACTATCTTGGGAATAGCTCTGTGCTGTAAAAGGTCTTTTTCTTCAAAACATCTCTGTGTGTAGTCCCCTCCTTCTCCATATTTAAAGCAAATGGTTATTTTTCATATAATTGTTGTTTGGGGTCAGAGGCAAATATTGATAGATAGTGACAGAGTTTAATTTATTTCTTTGGTGAAGATTGATTTTTCTTGGTTTTCGACAGCACTGGCTGCCTTCCCAGAAGCGTTTCTGAATTTATCACTGCTGGGTGCCAAACTGAGATGGAAAAAACAGCTTTTAAATATAAAACCCCTCAAACTAGGGGGGCATTTCATCTTGGTGAAGTTCTGGCTATAACCCCGAGTGCTACAGGGTAAGGACAGCTGAGAGGAATTGTGGTAGTGATTTATTTAACAATGTCAGTGGAGGGAGATCAGCCTTAGAGAGAGATGCTTCTGTCTGCCATGGGGTAATTACTTCTTACTCCTAACTTTTGGTTCATGCTGAAGATCTTTTCCTTCTTTGTCACAGTTGTGTCTAGGCACTGAGTGAAAGAAATGAGAGTGTAAACTGAGACAGACTTGCCCATCTGCAGTACTTTGCAATATTCCAGCTCTCAGAGCCACTGTGGGAATCCAGCTGCTCAAATCGTTGACGGGCAGAAGTTTCACTTCACATTGCCTGGCAGAGGGAAGCTCCTAGCCTTGCTTTTTGAATCTTCCTGCTGACCAACCCTGTGAGTTTTAATAGCTCCCTTCTGATGGCAGCGTCTGCAGAGGGCAGGGTGAAGCCCACGGCTGAGGCATGAGGGAGGTGACATTCCTTGGAGGCACACAGGGATGTGTGCTGCTGATGTGACTTGTGGAACATCACATCACTGGGGTTATACACGCTTGTACACAGATGAGCTCAGCCATGGTGCTCCTCTGGTCAAGTACAGCTGCTTTGTCTATTCTTAGTATCATGCTACAAGACAAATCAGGAGCCAAGGCAAAATAAGCTGAATTTTCTACCAAACTGGAAAGATTAAATACTTTTATCGACTTGATCAGACTGAGCTCAGAGTGAAGATATTTAGGTTTTGTGCCAGGGTCTGTGATGTATGGCTCAGGCTGCCAACAGCAGTCCATACAAGCACCATTGCACCATTCAGCTGGTGAAGTTACCACAGCTTCTCTCTGTGTAAACCCCTTGTAGCAGCTACTCCTTGTTGCACTCATCCGGCTGGGCAGGATCTCAGCACATCCTTCCTGCAGGGGTTGCAGCGGGGGGGATGTGGAACAAACAGAAGTAGAGACAAGAGGTTATAGAGCAGTGTCAGGAGAAACAGCCTCTTCCATCACAAGAAGATCAAGGCAGTTAACAAAAAAGTCTGGGCACCCGGCAAGATGAAACTAAGCTCCACCGCTCAGGCTGCTCAGAGATCCTCCCCTCCCTGCAGCAATGCGGCAGAGCCTCTCACTCCCTCTAACGTTAAAGCAATGCTTGATTTAAAAGAAAAGGAACTCCAATTGTTCTGATGTCTGCTTTTCACCACCTCAGGGAAAATGGAATGCCCTTCTCACATCCCAGGTGGGGAAGTGAAAGCCCACAAACAAAGTTCTTTCGCAGTCCTTTCCCCTTGCAGGAGCTCTTGTCCCGGTGAGCCCAGCTTGCCCTGAGCCAGGAGAGATCTTAGTGCTGGCAGGGGAACCTGGTGTCTCCTCCCAGAGAAGCACCTCCCAGCGGATTCATTCGGCTTGAAGAGGAGAAACTCTCTTTTTACCAAGGATCTCACCTCTCTGAAGACTCTTTCTAATTAATTCTGCTCCTCTCTGAGCTTGGCAGCAGTGGCTGGGGCTGTGACACACAGCAGCCTTTGCTGATAAGCCCTGCACTGTGCATATCTTTCTTTCTTTGAATGTTTTCAATCAGGAAAACACCAATTTGTATTTCCTATAGAAATTGCTCCAA